GTCTGACTGTCATCATGTGCATCTGGTCTGTGTAATTTAGACTGTCAGATAGTCATCGTGACAATAAAATGTCACAGGAGAGAAGAAAGAAAAGGTGGACGTTTGGTTTACTAAGATGTGATGCTAAATTTGGAAAAAAGGAATTTATTTATTTTACTCAAGGGTCAAAGTCTCCCCCACAGACAGGAAGTCCTCCCTGTCAGCACTTGTAAAACATCCATTTTGTTGCTTAGTACCTAGATAATAAAGAACAGTAAAATACCGCAGAAACTGCGTATTACTGAATACATCTTATTTTGAAATTGAGATGATAAAAGTGTTTTTTTGAAATAATGTCTCATTATTGTTATGTTATATTCATATGGAGGCCTTTCATATCCAAGCATATTGTATCTATATGAACGGTAGCTCATAATCACCTCTTTTCACGCTCCTACCTAAGAGTTTTTATTTACTTTGTGATGTCATTCATCTCCCTGCCCCCGGGCTGTTTATGTAGCCTTTTCTCTCTTTCCCCCCATCCACTTTTTTCTTCCATTTCCTCTATTTCACCCAACCTAACCCCTCGTTCTCTTTCACTCTTTGGCTCCATTACTGAAATTTAACTCTCTTTTGAAACCCCTGTGCCTCCCTCTCCTCTCTCCTCGTCCAAATCGCTTAACTCTTTCTTTCTGTCTAATTTAATTCTCTCATTGTCTAATTCTCTCACCACCAACAACATGGAGTAATTCTTTATTCGCCTCTCAATGCTCAGAGGTCTGAAATAACCTTTGTATTTGGAGCTAGTGCTTGAGTAGAGCAGTTCTTGCTTAAGGACCTTTGTCTGCCTAAATACACAAATTCAAAATGTCAAGCCTCCCTTATCTACATAACTAAATGTCACATGGAGAGAGACCTGGCTGCATGCCTTTTAAAGGAGAGCGAGACTGTATACCACAGCGTTATCACATAGAGTTTGCATAAGAGCAGCATTGCTCTTCCAGGGCCCTTACAGTATTGAAGAACTTCATCATGTTACTGTCCACAAACACTGAGCTGACATTTGAGATACTTCAGTCTTCAGTTTGGTTTAAAAAGCCGGAGTCTACAGTCACGCTCTGTTGGGCTGTACTTAGATGGTGCTTTAAGCTAAATGCTAACATCAGCATGTAAATATGATCGCAGTGAAAATGCTAACAGGCTGATGCTAAGCAGGTGTAATGCTTGCCGTGTCCTCCATACTGATTCACAGTGTTAGCATGCTAATATTTGCTATTGAGCACTGAGCTGAGGCTGATAGGATTCTCGTTAGTTTTGCATGTGTTTGGTCATAAACAGAAATATTGGAGAAATTGAAATTTTGAGGTCAGAGAATCACCTCTGTCACTAGGAGCTTCATGAATACCTCTACCACATTTCATGACGGTCTGTCCAATACTTGTCGAGGTGTTTCACCAAAAGCCAAAAGTGTCGACCTGCTGGTGATGCCACAGATAAAGTCAGTCCAGTGTGAATTCCCATTTACACACTTCAAGTCTCCTGATTAATATAGGCTATAAACATTTTGATTTTGCTTCTGATAGTACCATCTATTTTCTTCAAATTATTTGATGCATCAACTGAGAAATGGTTGAGGTGGTTACATGATGTTCAGGCTTCCAGCGATTTGCAGTGTATGAGAAATAGGTAGTTTTGTAATCTCTGCTCTTTCATTCCTATAATTATGTTGTTTTGTTGTAAATGCTGGTCCACAAGTCAGTGGGTGTGACACACCAACAGTGATATGAATGAATGAATGTTTTTTTTTTTTGTTTATCCTTGAGTGACTTTAATGTAAGAACTAAAGACACAGGTCTAAAGTCAGAAGGACATAATTCCGGTAATATCAGCAGTAGCAGCTCCATATTTCCCTCTATTGTGACATTATATGATTGAAAGTTGATGGTTTGGTCATAGCTGGAGAATATATTCTGATTCCATCTTCAAAGTAGGGAAGAGTTTATGATGATCACAGATAAACAACACGTACAAACAGGCTTACGTCTGCCTGCAGCCATGTAAGCTTGAGTCTCCCCCTTGTACAGTAGGTGGGATTCTCCTTTGGCTGACTGCGAGATGTTTGCTTTCCATTGTGGGATACCACGGTTTAAATTTGGTCTGGTAGATTTGTGTGAAATAGAAGAGCTTCTATCACAACAAGAGCACAAATGTAGCACAGTGGTTATGCAAGTATTTTGACAAATCACTCAAAGCAAACAGATTTCCCCATCACTGGGTTCTGTGTGGTTCCGCTCATTCCTGGAGTGTGCCAGGCTCACATATACTGCACAACACCACTTTCTATTTCAGATCTCCATCGAGATTAAAATCATGAAAAGTCATTTTGTATTTTCCTTTTTTTCCTCCCTTCTTTTTCTCCAGAAAAATGTTGTCATGCTCTCAGCTTTGAGGGGCAAAAGAGAGCCACAAGGCTGAATGGGAACCAATGAAAATCTATGTGGGTGGCAGAGAAACTCGATACAAACTACAGAGGTTATACTGAATTTTGTGGTAGGATAGTTACAGAGATGTGAGAGATTTTTAGATTTCCATAATCCTGGGATCGGACTACATGACATTTATGTCTTTTGAGATGGTCACCAGTTCAAATTAAGCAATCGTGGTGCCTTAATTCTGGCCATGACTATGCCAAGGGACATGTCAGACTGTACGCTGAGCACAGAATATTCAGTCTCACAGTCTTTTGCAACCCTGCCTCCCAGAAAATATCTGTCTATATTACTAAATTGTTTCCAGTTGTGTTGCAGTGACATTTATCAATTGCACCAGAGTCACAGTGAGGTTGTTGAGGGTGGTGGAGGGTGTACAAAGGACAGGACTGTGACACCAGAACCTGGGTTTGCATCTTGGCTCCTGTGTGTGGTTAGGTTTAAGCAACAAAATACTCGGGTTAAGGTTAGGGTGAAGATCATGATTTTGGTTAATATTACCAAACATATTATGTGAACTTTATGTGTATCAAATGGAATTAGAAATCACGGCGTCACTCGAGAAGATGGATGGAGAGATCACGGCAGAGATAACGGCAGCAGAGACATCGTAGATTATGTCAGACAAACTCCAAAGATGAGGTGGTCCATAAATGCTACCAACCTTACTCTCTGAAACTGCCCCCACTGGTCATGTGCTAAACCCCATCTCACGTAGTCTCCGTGACATCACCCATAGGTTACTGAGGAGCTGTTTTGAAGCTCAGAGTGAGCTGCTCTGCCATCACCATCTTGGCAGGGCCTGACTCAACCTAACTCTTGGCTAATCCAAAAATGATCAAAGAGCAGGGGCGCGTCTGGAGCAAGTATATCCTCACCCAAGTGTCACTCAAAGCGATACCAGTCTGTAAACATGTTTATTTCTGCTGCAAAGTTGGGCATTTTAACATGGGAGTCTATGGGGATTGACTCACTTTTGGAGCCAGACTCAAGCCAGCCATTCTAGGAACTGCCATTTTTGGCACTTCTGTGTTGTGCTTCATTTTTCAGCCCCGGAGGTTGCCGCTTGATGGTTGCGATGATGTATATCAGAAACCTTAGAGAAAAGGATGATATGGATAGTTGGGAGCACAGAGCACAGTCAGCGTTAGTTTCTTTTAACCGTGAACATAATCTTTCTCCAGTCTTTATCAGTTAGTACTTGTGGCTAAAGATAACCAAATGTTAATCATAATGAAAGCACTCAAATTGGTCAATTAGAAAGGAAATGACAAATTATCTTCTTTTTCATCATTTAGGCTATTTTGGAGGACATGCATGAAGTCCCAGGGTCACCAGGCAGGAGGGGCCAGAGACAAGTCTTCCAGGACCAGAAATGTCACAGATGTTGTCAATGGATGAGTGAAGGCAAAAAAAAAAAAAAAAATTCCTTGCATTGTAAGCCTTTGCGTCTGCGTCTCATCAGGCATCCTAGATATGGAACTGGATGTCTTCCAGTATGATGGGATAAAACATCTGCTCGATTGAGACATTTTCAGGCTTTTGAAATGCCTCATGGTCTATACATCTAGATGGAACTCCATCTAGATGTATAGGCGATACCTTGAGGACAGTGATGTGACATTATCTATCTGCAATAGGTCCTAAATAGAATTCACTGTAAATTATATATTTAACTTAATGAGACAAATGAGAAAATGTCATATTGTTCACAAGGTATCGTGGCTTTAACACCCCATTTCATTCCACAGCCGTGGTGGTTGGTTTACTACAAACACCTCACTAAGTGCTCACAGATGGTGCAAAGTTGGCAGACATAACTGTCCCCACCAAAATACTTTCTCATAACCTGAGAACTTCATAGGAGGAAGAGGTTTTGAACTTCACTTGGACACCAGCACCGGCAGACAGGAGGAAATATTTCTAATATATTATATGGAAGGTTAATTGGTAAGGAATACAATATGTCTTTGAGTCCCTCAGTGTCAGTCTCACGCTCTCTTTTTTTCTCTCTGCCTTACTCCACCCCTCTCTCTCCCTTCCTGTCTCTCTCTTAACAAATTACTGAAAAAAAAAATGTGTTTCCAATTAGGCGCTGAGGGAAAAAAGAACAACTCTCAACTGCAGCACTACAAGAAATGTCTTTGGTAACACGGTATTTACATCTTCAAATGGATATTTTTACATAAACCAAGTGGAAAAATGTTAGTTGGGGTAATAAAAAAAAAGAGGTTTCACCTGTTTTCAGTGTTAAGATTATAGTAAAAAAAAAAAAAGACCTGAGGCTCTATGAAGATTATTTGCAGTGAAATTCGGCTTTTACAAAATAAGATGCTGCTCTGTATTTTGATGCTTTTGTCATCTTTTTAAAGTGTGTGTGTGTGTGTGCGTGCGTGTGTGCGTGTGTGCGTGTGTGTGTGTGTGTGTGTGTGTGTGCGCGTGTGTGTGTGAGCGCGTGACGTCATGTTCAGACAAAGGTCCCCTCCTGAAGAGTGTGTGTGGCAGTCGGTCGGTCAGTGAGAGAGAGAGAGGGAGCTTGGTGGAGCCGCACGGAGAGAGGCACGGAGACGCAGCAGAGCATAAGGGCGTCTTCATCGGAGGGGAAAAGAGAGATAAATAAAACAACTTAAAAAAAAGACACACACAGCGACATACTGGTGGGAAACAATCGGAAGAGATATTGCTTTGCTGCAGGGACATAAAATGAAAGGGTTACCTGGCTGTATTTTGGATTTGGAGTCTTGCATTACACCGCTGCGACTTTGACACAAGAGCTGCGCAGGCAGAGTCTCTAGGAGTTGTCTGTTGGAGGGATTTCAGGCACCACGGATCAAACTTGAGTTGGACATCCAGGAACCAGTCAGGGAGTAAGCTAAACTACCTACCTACTGCTCTCACTGAAAAGGAAGACGCTGTAAGTATTGCATTTATTTTCCAGCTCATTGACTGAATCTTTCTAAATTCCAAATTTGATCCATATTTTAAAAAGTTTTCTCTTTGGCTCACTTTAGCGCGTCCTCATGTGCAAGCACGATGTGGGCATCTTTACATAATCAAAGTGTACCTGCCACGTAGACGTGGCGAGAAAGCATTAGTTTCAGATAAAGGCTTTGATGGCATTAGCAGATGCCTGAACGCGCTGGGCGCACCGTTATGTCGACTGGAGACGCTCGGTCGTGCGCCCATAGGGGCTGAGACCGAGGACGCGGCTGGAATGAAGGACTTGTTGCGCCAGAGCTGGGCTCTTTATCAAACTCTGAGACTGGAGCAATATTTGTGGAAGGGAGTAAGAGGAAAAAAAAAACACAAGCGGGCGTTGGGTCTGGGAGTCAAAGTTTGACATCTGTCTTGATTTTTCACGCTGATCTGCATTCAGAGAATGTGTTTGGAATTTTCTTTAGAATTTCTTCATTGAGTCTGCCAGATGCACACCGACAATGCTAAACCTCACTTTCCTCACTTTCACTGAGCATGCAGATTGATAACCCAGAGAGTCAGATTTGAGCAGAGAGCATGGGGTTATGTGATTATTGCCTTTATGTGACAGAAATATAAAGACTTGAGTTGATGTTTCTCAAAGTAAAAAGTCAAAATTGGCAAAAATATTTCAACATCTCACATCAACTGTCCTATCATTCTTTTATCTGGGATACTTGATCCCTGCATCGAGTTCATGGAGTTCTGGCCAGGTGCTTTATGAATGATTACAGCCAAAGATACATCACGCAAACAGGTGGCGATTGTCTTTTTTTCAGTCACTTGAAATGTGCATGTGAAGAGGATAGTGTCCAGTGTAAGTTTAGCCTGCACAGAAATGTTTATGGGTTCATGGTGTGAATGAAACTGAAGTTGTGCATTGCGGATAAGAAAACCTCATTTGGCTCTTGTGGGGTGCATGGTGACTCTCAGTTTTTCTTCCCTAACTTGTGATGCTCGATGAAACCGTCCCAACATTTTGGCCCAAATTAGAATACATTAGCAACTACTGACCAGGCCGCTGTAAAACGGGGAGTTTGTGTCCCGCAGGGGAGAATTTCTGATCTCTCTGGAGACTCTTAGCATTTCATTCAAAGCAGGTCAGTTCTAAAATTGTCACTTGACCAACAATGAAACGTGATAGAATGAAACTAATTGAACAATAATCGAACAATGGTTTGATTGCTATGAAATTTGTAGTGTGTGTTTGCTGAAATGCTTCATAGAAGGTCTCATAAAGATGGCAGAAGTAAAGTCTCTCTACACCCTCACTGTGTAGAGTTAGCAGTGACAGACTCCAGCATAAGGGGAACTGATCACTCTAAACTTTGAGAAAACTGGAACAATTATAGCTAGAATACAAAAATAGATGATTTTGGTCCATTTTATTCATTGCATGATGCTTCCCTCATTGCTGCATTTAGAGCAAGTTCCTTGTTTACAAAGACAAACAAACAAATAAACAAAAACAAATGGCTGGAGCACCATGACATTTGCTCCGGGTAGTCATTATCCCAACAGGATCCTTGGTGATCTTTTTCAGTTGTTTTTTAACTGACTGTGAAACATATGCTCCTGATATGCTAACCTTTCCCTTTTGATGTCACCTAATTAATCTGGGGTTCAAATGGTAAGCATTTGTTTGTGTGTGTGTGTGTGTGTGTGTGTGTGTGTGTGTGTGTGTGTGTGTGTGTGTCTACTTGTGTATTCACAAGAGAGAGCATGGACACTGTTTACCCACCACCCACTGCCACAAACCTCAGGGGTTCTTTGATGGTATAGTGGCGTGTGAGGAGCATTTACACTTCTGTAGATAAATGAGCTCAGCGGCTTTCAGGCTGTTTTAATTACGGAATCCACATTTCTCAAATCATGCTTTCTCACACTGAATGAGTAACACTTGCTAACTGCTGACTCAATACAGCTTCTTTTTTTTCTCCTGGTGCATAAGGGAACTTTTGAACATTTTGAATTTTTGGGCCCATTTTCATCCGACTGTATGACCCCCTATGGAGTCAAATACATATTGACATTAAACCAGGCTGAGATAAATCCAGCTGGAGGTGGGATAGGGTAACCAGAGCACAGGGTCTTCAGTGTTTTCAGCTTGGGGCTAAAATTTTAACATTTAACCTTTCCACTTTAGACATGAAGAAATATTGTTGCTCTTTATTGGGGAAATTTCTCAGAAACAGGGCTGCAGCCCACTTGGTGTCCTGACCTTGGGTTTATTGAACCACAGCCAGTTTTTATTGCTTATAGATATTTCTTAATTCAGTCGTTCTTAGCCATTTGTTAAAAACACTTCAGGAATGTGCAAACAGCACATTTTAAAGACTGAAAGAAAATCAAATCTGAAGTGATACCTTACCTTAATAGTTACGACATGAGGGGATAAGTGAGAGATAGAAGAGAAGAGATGACAGGGAGAGACCGAGACACAAAAACTGTGTGGAAAAAATAAAAATGTTGCCTCCTGATGACTGCCTTCACATACAAAAGCAATCTGCAAGAGGCTGCACTGCTGTTAAATTTAATGAACTATATTTTACTTCATGTGCAGTCTTCCAAACTCTTATGTATCTTTAGATTTAGCCATTTGTCACCATGGATATGACACACCAGCTCTCCAGTTATGGGGACGGGATAGTTCTCAGGAGCTCGGTGGTTTCCTTAGAAACCAGACGGGCAATCAGTCCATAAAGTTCTGATTGATAGATTTCATCCAAACGTTAATCCACAACTACTGAGATGCTGAAAGGAAAGTTAAAAGGGATAAGCTGATGCTTCTGACCTCCAGCCTTCGCGGTAAACTAAACAAAACTCCCACAGCAAAGACTTATCGTCTCCCATGAAGATGACTGTTTTTATGTTTCCCTGCATGAGCTCTGACATCCGTCAAAAGAGAAAGTCCTTGAAACATCTGTGTTGTGATTACTGACAGCGCGATTTCTCCTCCCCCTCATCTAAGGACCCGCATTCCACCCATTCTTACTCCCAACGTCCACACTGCTCCCACATTCAAGCAGGTAGCAGAGTCACATTTTGTGAGCCATCAAATTCCTTTCATGTGCATGTGAACAGGGAATAGATTCAAGCAAAAGTCCTGCCCGTTCAAACAGCGCAAAGAATATTAAAGATACAGAAAACAGCTGTATTATCACCAGCATTATCGCTTTACATTTATATACGTGCTAATTTGTAAGGGGCTTCACAGTCAAACCACTTCCCTTTGCAGTATTGTTCCTCAGTTCCTGCAGCTCATGTGTCTGTGGACCACAGACCACTACCTCTTCTTCAACTAAAGAACTGACGTCTTAAAAACATAAAATAAGATAATGTTGCACCACAATGCATGTGTCCCTCATGAACCTCTGCTGCTGATCATACTTTTGGTTTGCAGTGAGTAGCGTCTTGAGTAACACAGGTCACACACAAAGTGGTCAGTCGCCAGTGTGCCAGAAAGGCTATACACTTGAATTACAATCAGTGATAGCCGGATCCTAAAAGCCTACCTGTCTGTAACTGTCCCTCTGACGCCTTATTATGTTTTTTGTTCTGTGCTATCATATACCTCTGGGTGGTCGACAGCAACTATTGTGAAGGTCTGGAAGGTCCACACTTGCACTCTTTAGACTGAACAGAGGAGGAGAAAGATAGTGCTGTGAAAAATCAATTTGTTTAAAACTGTGAGTACAACATGAGCTACCCACAGGGCTTCAAATCCACTGGAATCAATTAAAAAAAAAAAAAGATGGAGACCTCCTCTGCTCACATTGCCTTCTTTGTGATCACTGCCCAAAGAGACCAGAGCAGACATTGTTGAACCAGGAGACTGAAAAGTATTACATAGTAAAACATTCTGCATGTACCTATTGAAATATGGCTCTGTGGCCATTTCTGTTTTGGTGGAGGAAGTCTTTCTTCACAAAGTGTTTCCTGATAGCAATGATACAGAAAGGCGCTGTTATACAAAAATAGGGTGTAGCCTATATGCAAAGAACATCATGGCACAAAAGGGAGTGGAGTTTCTGCTCTATCACCGCAGTTCGGATGTACAGGCCTATATCATGGCCACTTGCTGCTGATCCGTTTGAGGTTTCCTGTATGATTGACATGACTCGACATTAAGTACTTCAGTCTGACTTCTTTTAACTGATGCCTTCGGCAGACTTGCTCCTCTTTTCTAGCATTTACGGGGGTTTTTTTTCACATAGTGTATATTAGCTGTGTGTTCTACTCAAGCATGAGATGCAAATATTCTCTTAAAACCCTCCTGTCTGTCATTTAACTGTCAGCTAATGTATAAATAAACTGTGGTTTTTTACAGGAAGCTGCCCATATCAGTTCGATGACAATACTGCCATTATGTGTGCGTGTGTGTGCATTTTATCATTATCTTTCAATATGGCCACTGTAAGTTGGAAGAGAAACTCACTGCTTCTGTATTGTTCCAGTGGTTGTCTCAGGGCATTTTCACACCTAAAGTTTGTTTGCTCTGGTCTGATACAGACGATGCATTTGTAAACTTGTAGCATTTCCCTCCTCGGTTTCGGTTTGCTTTCACACTGAGAAAAGATTCAAGCCAACCAAAAGGCTTCATTCCAAACGAGAGAATGAGGGCGAACGTTCAATCTGATAAATTATTGGTCAGATTGTCTGGCTAGAAGGAACGAAAGCAGAGAAAGAAAGAGAAAAGCAGACAGGCAGATACTGTTTCGGAAGTCTGTGAATGCTAGTCGACCACCATTTCCTCATGCAGACTCATGCCCACTGTCCACAATCATTAAAGTGTATATACGGCTGCACTGTTTGCCTTGCAGTAGCTGCCAGTGCAGTCCAATCCTGTAGCACCGTAGACACATCTCTTGGTGTAAAAAAAAAAAAAAAAAAACTCTACTTTGTAGAATGGTGACAGGTTTGTTCAGTTAAAATGAC